TTTTTTATTATTTGCCTAACATGAAATAGGTATTTAACTAGGTATTTAACTAAATTTCTAGGCGGATAGTGAAATTGTATAAATATTAAATTCTATGACTATATGCCTAGACATTTAATAAAATGCCTGATTTGACTATATGCCTACGACATATATATATATATATAAAATAAGGTTCACCATAATATATGGGTTAGTGTGCCGCGAAAACTGTTGGAAATGAAGTGTACCGCATTGTTAAAAAGGTTGAAAACCACTGTTGTAGACTGTCATTCCCTTTTTTGCATGTCTTAAAAATTAAAAATTTAAAAAATTAAAATTTTAAAATTAAAATCTAAATTTTTAAATAGATTGTTTCATTAGTTTAGTTTGTTTATGTTTTCAAATCGTCGAAATGTACTATACTGTATAAATTATATTATATTTTATTATGAATGTCTACTTCATAATTTGTGTTAAAATTATTTTTGCAGTTTTTCCTATGTAATTATACAATTTTATGAAGTATTCGGTTTATTTTTACTGTTCAATTCATTCATCCATTACATTTGTTAATTTAAGGTTTGTACTTAGATTTTAATATAAACCTCAATATAAGTGTTATTAATTTTTTCATTAGCTATAAAATAAATGATTACTGATTGCACATGAATAATTATTTCGATTGAATCTTATCCAAAAACCCTAATTACATTTTAAAAAAAAAAAAACTGGCGCACTAATTCGCCGTTTCTGAACAACAGATTTTTAAATACTATCGGCAGTTTGAAAAACTAATTTTCTTAGATATTGTTAATGTACATGTTTATTGATTACGATCAATCGTTCTATAACGTCTTTGAAATATTTACAAATTAATAATATATAATAATGGTATTGGTTCTTTAAATGATCGTCTTTAGTATGAAAGCAAATGCTGTAGACTATGATAGTTTAACAAAATAATTTAAAATAAACTTACCACGTTTCAGTATGCCTATAAGGATATTTTAAAATGCACTTATCATTTTAAAAAACATTAAACCGATTAAATTCTTTAAATATTCAACATTTACCAAACAGCAGGAATATTCTCTATTTTGATCAACCATAAATTAATGTATTTATGTTCATTTTTGCCCACAACTCCCATTTCGTACAAATTAAAATAATCATATGAATCTCACAGTATACCAGCAATTGTAGAAGCAATACAACCATTTCATTTTAATATTAAATTTGTCTAATGTTTTAGTATTTAAATACTAAAATAATACACCTTTATACAAAGGTGGACATTAACTTTTTAACTTACCAATTAAATTAGTTAAGTGGACATTAACTTTTTAACTTAACAAATTTAATTGGTAGTTGAAATAACTTAGCTTTTCACAGTTGATTTAAAAATGATCTATCGTGTTAAACAATTTTGAAATTTTTCGTTTATACGCAAATATTAATATATATAAAAATTAAATAATCATGTAAAGTAAAATGGTCATATTCACTATACATCAAATGTCATATTACAGGGGTCCCCAACCATTTTATCTTCGAGTGCCATCAGAAACTTTTATAATCAATACGCGTACCATCTCAATTTTAAAACTAAATTGGGAGTAAAATTATTTTAATATATATTTTCATTATTCATTCATTTCTTAACATTTTTTTTTATTTTATATTTATAAAAGTAAAAAAAATTTAATTTTTAGCTTAATATTCAAATTATGTAATCTATTTACTAATTAAAAAAAGTATATTAACTTTTTTTAAATCGAGTTAAGTTAATATTTTTTTCCTTATTAACTTTTAACGAATCGAATTAAATTTATGAATTGTTAAATGTTAACTTTTAACTTATCGATCTTGTATTCTCTTAATTTAACTCCAGTTAATTATTTTCATTCATTTGCCCATCTTTGCCTTTGTGTACTTACACAATACACTTACACTTACAAAGTCGGTCAATGTTTTATCATATTTTATACAGTCTCTTTGTTAATTTGAGATTAGTATTTACTCTTATGACACCCGGGTTGTTTAAAGGCTTATGACGTTATTAATGGCAGTGACCAACGATCAATTTATAGTATTAAGACCATACGGTTAGGTGATGTCGATCAAGTTCCGAAATCAGTGAACGCTGTATTCTCGTTTTATATAAATAAAATATACGTTGAAATAATGCCACGTGCTGCATGACCTTATATAACAATAAGGCTTATCCGTGAGTTGTGCCATTGTATCATCGGTAAGCTTTTCCTACGTAATCTCCATTGCGCATAATACTCATGTACGACTGTAGACATCACAATAAAGCTTAAATAATTCAATTTATACATGTTGCTAGAAAATAAATAGCAAAATGATTATTTTATTTGTTTCGCATGTCACGACCGTTGAAAAGGATTTGAATGTTTGTTTGTTAAGCTTTCTTGAAATCTTGTACCTATGCATTTATATTTACAATATTACATGATCGTTTGTACGGGCGAATACTGTGGTACATACCAACTCTTTTGAATTTCAAATATCTTGAATAACATGCCTTTAATATTTATATTAAACGCGTGAACGCGTTATACTTCCTTTTTTATTTTTACCACATTAGGTAGTTAAAATCTGAACACCGGTGGTGTAATAAATACTAATAATTGATTAAATATCTTATTTTATTAACAAATATTTTTCTATTAAAAAAATTACGTATTATTACACTAATAATTTTGAGTTGTGAATAAGTTAGTTTTGAGAAGTCGATTGACTCCATCCACTAATACAGTTAAAATCGTCTTGCATAACATATCAATGAAAATGCGGTTCGGTGACAGTAATAAATACAATAAACAACGCTCTGAGTTTATAATTTAAAAGTAAATACATTTCTTAAGGCTAAGAAATTAAAATACCTAATAAATAAAAATTATAATAGTGAGAACTATAAAATTGTAGATAGATATTATAGGTTACTATAATATTATATTAATCCTTTGGAGATATTTAAAAACAAAATTACAATTCAACTATTTTTTTTGTTTATTTTTTTTTATGAAGCTTTTACAAGTCATTTAGGCTCTTTGCTTTTAAAACCAATTCACTCCAAACTTTTCGCACGTAAGCTAAATAGTTTAATTTAATTATTACAAGATATATATCACATTAAAAAAAGTACTTCGTTACTTGGAAAAATTAAAATTAATTAATTTAAAAAACTAAAATTTAGTAACCATAGATGATTTTAGTTTAATTACTGTTTATTGTACTAATTAATTAAATAATTTAATATAATACTAGTATACCGGTTGCAAAAATTTGCAACAGATAATTTATTTATATAATAAAAAGTATAGGTGCAATCGAATCAATACATAAACACATTTTAACAAATCAATAAATGAGTATAATATCGAAAATCGAAATGACAGAGAGTGTGAAAGAAAAAAGACTATTCAAATTGATATATTAGTTATGTAAGGTAAATATACTGTTAAGCTTTAAGTTATTGCTCTAAAACATCTCTCTTTGATTCTTTTTCCTCACAACAAAACTACTACAAATAGCTTTAAACACGCTTAACATATAATGTACTCGTATTACAAATTATGAACGCATGAGTCTTCACATGAACATGTTCAGTGCGGTCCTTTATTTTTTCTTGGGGAATAAATAAAAATAAAAAATAATATTTTATTTAGGAACTATAATTTTATATTTAAATGAAAATTTATTTAAAATGTATTCTTTTTATGCATGATCCATACGTATACAAATAAAATGCCGAAGATAACAGTGACGTTAAGGTGTACATTATGATTTTAGATTTATATTATTAGTGTATCTTTAGAGGATCGATAAAAACAATAAAGATCAATGTATATAAGTATAAATTAAATCATATTATAATTCCTATAAAAAAACAAATAAATAGGGTAGATTTTTATTTTTATTTAGTTTCGCAATCCCGCATTACTATTACTATTATTAATATATTACTTATTAGATATAGATGTATAAAATTGTATTGATATTCCTTAGCAATAAAATTAAAACACATTATAATTAGAAATTGTCTCCAAAAAGCACTAGCTTGTGGGAGAGAACAATTTCAAATTTCAAATTTATATCCATAAATATACGATATATATAGATATCTACATGGTTTAATATTTATATTAGTTAAAATCTAAAATACATTAAAACTAGTTTTAACTAGTTAAACTATAGAATTAACCAGGACTTCAATATTGTTACTAGTTTTTAAATAAAATGATGTAACAAAAGTAAATTTGAAATAAGTATAATTTTTATTATTTGTTTTGACAATGCAAACTATTGTGATATTTAAGATTACATAAAATATTTTTTTTACATAAGGAGCGATTTAATCCACACGCATTTTGAAGCAAGATACTTAGACATAACAGAATTTTACATTAATACCAATGTTAGGTATATTGTATGAAAGTCGAATTTTGATTGCCGGCCGGTCGAAGTTATCTTAATTTATTTTCATAAATTATCCCACGATAAACACCATATAACTAAATATCATGATAGTTTGCCTTGTTAAAACAAATAATAAAAATAATATTTATTTCTGATAGACTTAACTCTAATGTGATGTTATGTATCTAATTATGTTTGTATGGCAAGCGTTTACAAATGTAACATTGTGCCGGCTGTAGGTTAAGTCCTCATTACCTGATGCAAATCGGTGTATTAAAGCGCTTTTTGATTCTGGCAACACCAACTAACCAAGCGTCAAAAACGACGTCCCATTTAGTGTCATAAAAGAATTTCGCGAAATTTGTCGGAAGAGTATTTATTCTTACATCAAGATATTATTTTAAGAATTAATAGATAAAAAATACTTCTGTAATATTTTTTTCATTTATTTTAGAAACATCATGTATATTGGTATATCAATTGTTTGGTTTAAAATTACTATTTTTTTTATTTATTTTTTTATTTTTTTTTTTTTTGTCAATATAATATATTATATTATATATGTTCAATTTCACCATTACTATTAGCATATGCTATTTGTGAGATTAAATTTGTTTTAATAATTTTTGAAGTAGTTCTTCTTGTTCAGCTAATTCTTTCATATGTTTTCGATGATTTTCCAATTCAGTCATTTTTTGTTTTTCCTGTGAATAGTAATAAAATATTAAAAATAAAAACGAATATAATTCCAAAACGTGTATTTTACGTTAATATATGATTAATTTCAAACTCATTTTTTAATAAAATAATTCTGGATGAAATATAACGTAATAAATATAATAGTGCACACTCGAGTATACGGTTGAGTTAAAGGTCATAATTTATTAGCGTTAAGTGTAAACATATGTATGTTATTGCTATAAAATATACAATGCCATACACCATGCTAAATAATAATATTTAAAATAAAAGTACAATTAATAATTAACTTCTGTAAATATATTATGATGAGATTAACCATATAATATAATTTATAATTATAATTAATACAAACGGTTAAGTGTGATAGTAAAAATGCATACATTTTAAAACCAGAAATAGATATTCATGGAATACGCACGGGACAAGCCTGTCAACGGTGCGAATCAAATACCGAACGAATTTTTTTGACGTTAAGCAATTATAATTAGACAATTATAGTTATTAAAAACGTGAACCACTATCTCACTTACAAGTATATCTTTGTTGGAATTTATTTGATTGCTTAATTCTGTTTTGAAATTCCATTTTCTTTGTTTAATACTTTGGCACAGTTCCTTTTCTTCTTTTAAATAGTTTTCATGATCCTTCATTGACTCTTCTAATGCTTTGCGCTTCATATCGTTTTGATGTTTAACCATCTCCTCGTTAAATTTTAACTGTTCCATTAATATTCTGTTGTCTTCCTGAAAAGACAGTATAATTATTACTGTTATTATGACACGGGAACTGCACAATTTATACGGGCTATAAGGAAACAAATCCGTACCTCTACGCGTTTCCGCCGCAATTCGTCTTTTTCGCGTTCAACGGATACTTTCAAATCTTCAATATCTTTTATTTGTTTCATCAAAATGTTCGACATTTCTTCATTTTGCTTTCTGCGTTCTTCTTTAATCATTGCATCGCGCTTCATGAGCCACTCGTTGTCGTGCCTCAATTGCATCTAAAGTTATATTATACGAAAAATTAAATTTTTATTCGAGAAACAACGATTCGGACTATCGTTTGTAACCTTTGCTTTGCAGGCTTTTAATTTTTCCCTAGCTATATGCTCTCTGGTTGTGGTTACGAACGTATCATTTAAAATTGATCCACATTTGTCAGATTTTGAAAATAATTTAGCTCTTTCTTCTAAGAATTGTGCAATTTCTTTTTCATTTTGTTTCTGATGTTTTATACGTTCCAATATTTCTGCAATAAAATCGACACAGCGTTGTAAATATAATCATTTGGACTTAAACGACGAACTTAAATGGAAATTCAGTTGAAGATGGTTGTATAATTTATTAAATCATTCTATTTAGTATAAAACAAGTATGAGTTATAAATATTTTTTAATTCTTTACAAGGACATTAATTGTATTTGTATTTATGTTTTATTTTTTGAAATGCATAAAATCCGTAACAGGTCGGCACTTAAAAAAAGGGTTTCATATTTATAGTTTTTTTCATTTAATGTCTTGATTAAAATCAATAAAATTAATTCAAGTATCATAAAAAAATAATAATCAGTACAAATAATTTAATACATTAGACTCTCGACAATTCGACTGATATCATACGTATTTAAATTTTATTAAAGTCTATAAATAATAAGTACATACTAATTTATGACATAATGTAAATTTATCTTATAATGGTACAGGTTTAGAAAAAAAATTATCAGTTTGTTTTTGTTTTTTGTTTAAAATGGTGTTTTTAATACAGTAGTATAAATCGAGGATCTGAAATTATCTACTGAGCGCAAAAATAACGAATATAGAGTCAATTGTAACTCATTGTAAACTGATGTAGGTTGCAATGTGGTTTTAATTTAAAAATTTTAAAGTAGTAATCAATGTATATTGATTAAAATAAATATAAATGATTTATCACATATTCTATCCTAACCTACTTAAAATAGAAAATTGGTATTTAACAAGCTTTAGTATGTTTTATTTTTGCTCACCAAATTCTTTCTCTTTGTTTAATTTTTCCGTTAATTTTATTAAATCTTTGCGTTCGGCATTTTTTAACTCTTTTTCATATTCTTTTTGAACTTTTTTTTCTAGTAACTGCTTTTGTAATTCATTTCGAAATTTCTGTTTTTTTTCCAAAATATGGCGATTTTCTTCTTTTTTCTCGTGAATCTAATAAATACAATAATATTATACTATAATAGGACCAAAATAACAGTTATTTTTAGTAAATCAAATATTTTTTATTTAGAGTAGCTTCTATTTTAAGTGTATAAAAAATTAAAATAAAATTAAAAATGATTGCATTTAAATTTCCTTGAAATCTATTGGAAACAAAAAAAAGTATTAATTATAAATAAATACAAAAAAACCACTTACAATATACACGTTTTATCTAATATAAAGAAGTTAACAGTGATTTTTTGTAATATTTTAATGCGTATCTATAATATTATCTCCTTTTTAAATTAAGTCATAACATTTATTATATTGTTGTTATGCCTGATGCATAGTCGTGTCTTCCCACATTGACAAAACCCAATTTCACTAATTCCTATTCACCGACATCTCTGTTCACTGTGGTATGTGTTGCATATTGGTTTGAGGATTTTTTCTAATTAAATATGAGTGTTTGAGAAAAAAGTGTTTATTCTAATCTTCTACAAATTTAAAATAGTACAAAATAGTACGGTTTCGGGTTTATTCGAAAATATTTTTATGCAATATCATATGACATACATGATATAATATATGTCGAATAAACCCGAAACCGTACTATTATATATATATAAATATGAATTTTTTAAATTATAAACAGAAAACTTATCGCGACCCAAAACTGTGCCGCGATCCACCGGTTGAAAACCACTGGTCTAGTTGACCGATCATAATCAAACCAATTTTTTCTCTACTGCGTACAGGTATCTTTTTAACATTTTATTAAATAAAGTTTACCTGATTTTTAATAAATTCTGTATTATTTATGATAGCCTGTTCCAATTTCTTAAGTTTTTGTTCTTTTTCCATCATTTCTTTTTCCTGAATTATTTTATAATTCATATCAGATATTTCTTTTTGGCGCTTAGTAATAGCTGCAATTCTCAATTCACTAGAATTTTCTCTAAAAAAATAAAACTACGTTTGTTTAAATTCATGAGTTTAATTTATATTGTTAATACAAACATGAAATGTTGTAAACGTTTTTCTTCCGCTGTTTTACGTTCTTCTTCATCTTTTTTTATTTTTGACTCGTCCAATATCGCTTGTATTTCCTCCTTTGACATTCTAAGAAGTTTCGGTTTTTCCTCATCTTCTTCTACTAATTTTTGACTAAAATATTAAGAGAAATATTAAGCTTAACTGAGAATTTAATGTGCAATAGTACCACGCAATATTTGTGCGATAAAAATGAACATATGCATTTAAAACACCAATTTAGATATAAAAATGTATATTTTTGGAAATGTATGTAATTAATTTAATTAATTGAGTTTTTGATTGTGTTCCTTGCATATAACAGCGTTAGCAAAAATTTTAGCACAAATATTTTGTGTAAAATAAATATTATACTATATACTGAGTAGTAAACATTTATTATATTTCTTTGAGTTAAACGAGTACGTTTAATACTATTAACATATTTACTATATTTACATTTAATACTTTAACATTGTTATCGGTTACTTTTATTATTATTTTAATGCTCATTACTTTTTATCTGACCAATATTATTACTATATTACTATATTATAATTTACACTTTGTTGTCAAAGTGTAATAACGTTATGTTAAATCTTTTAAAATAAAATAAATATAGATATACTTAATATATAAAAAAAATCAGCAAAATTAATTATGAATAGTATTACTATGAATAGATATAAAAAAAATGTAACATAGTAACGAAATATACGATAAAAATATTAAAAATCCGGCATTTGTATGATGTATTACAACTGAAATATTCAAAAATATTCAAAATAAAATTGTATATAAAAAAAAGATTTTAATTTATACCAAATGATTTCTCAATAAAATGCATAGATAAATAATTAGAATTATTAAATTTAACATAACAATGTTTACTATAGAAATAAACAATAATCGTACAAACTTCGGACGTTCTTCTACAAATAAATGTTCGTTAGTTTTCATTTCCTCATCAACCATTCCTTTTATTCGGTTATATAAATGCTTCTTATCTGCTACGTTAATCATTTCTATACTAAGATCATGATTATGTATACCTTGAAGTAAATTTTCAATTTGCATTTTATGATTTTGAAGACGTATTCGCTCCTTGTCACGAATTCGAATTTTGTAGTCGCTTCCAGGTTGTTTAGCTATCTGAGATAATTTTAAGTAATACGCTAATGTCTTATTTCGGTGTTAATAAAATACGTAATTATATGTAGGTAAATACTTACTAATCCATACGAATACGCACCAGGTCCGCGGATTACCATTTTTTGAGTGTTGCACTTTTTATCTGGGGCGACGGGTATTAAAGGTTTTCCTCCGTAGATCATTATAGATTAGTCTTATGTAAGTTTTTAAGATTAATTAAGCATACAAGTATAAATATTTTTCTAATATTTTCTCGTTCTTATTATCGTAACCAATATTTTTTGATAGATATTTAAATTGTTACTATATTAATCAAATACTGTATATTCAGTTTCTAGTTATTACTGCTGTTATTAATTGTAAAAATTCTGAAATTTAAAATAGCCTTACAATCTTTATAATAGCAATATCAAAGTACATAAATACATTACGTGCAATATAATTTTTCACAAACACTTTTATAAATACGATTGTTTCTATAACGATAAAAATATAAATTAATATATTTATATAATCATAAATCACAATATTTTATCATTAAGATCTCCACCTTTAGAACGTGTCTTAAAATTTGTTCAGAAAAAAATACATATTTCTTAACTTTTTATAGGAACTCGAAACATTGTTATAATTTAAATAGTTTTGTAAATAAAAGTTTCCAATTTTGGGTCACTTTTTATTTCAGTCTCCGGCAAGTTGCCCTATATTATCACTCCGTAATTGTTTCGCTGGCACAAAGTAAGGATTCAATTGCCATCCTGCCGTTCCTCGCCATGCCTTATAATACATGATAAATTCAGTGTCCGCCGCTAGATTACTAAATTACTGTTCAGGGCTCCCATTTTAAATATTTATAAATTATTATAATAATCGTGTCAATTTATATCATTTATACTTTTAATTGCTGGCAGTTTTTAGTGAACTAAAAAAAAAAAATAATTGTACAATTTGTTTATCATTGAAAAATATTAAGTTTTATATTATAAAGTATTACTTATATTATTAATATAACCTTGTAGTATTATTAAAAATGAAACTATGTAATTAGCTCAATTGTTTGTATATTTTAAATAAGGCACCATTAAAAAATCATAATATTTTGCACTATTTATAGGGATTTTTATAATTTTATGAGATGACATTTTTGGGAGCCCTTCTGAAAAAATGGGTCCAGGGCCCTTAAAGTACTAGGCCAATAATGGATATTTTATGTACATGCGTCCAACAATACATTGCGCATACATTTGTACCGTCGAAATATTGGAAATATTATTAAAGTGCTTTCCAACAAAGGCCGCACGCGAACAAACGAACGTTTTCAATCCCTAGCCCGTAGGTTGGGGGTACCACAAGAGTTGGTCGATACATGAGCATATGAATTGATACGTGATAGTAGAGATCTATTCGTTTCTGAGGCGGTGAATCAAAGAAAACAATACACGTGCTTTGGTTTCGACGTGATTCGTAACCACGCGTTCAGTTATCCTAACACAAGAACGCACTACGAGTTTGCGTATCGGCACATTGTGTCATCGAATTCGCAGCGTCGACAGTGGATTACGTTGTACGCGAGTCACATAAATCAATGGTCTTCGACAGTAACCGTCATCTGTACCACCCGCACCACGGTGTTACTCGTAGCCAGTGCTCGACTTGGCAAAATTAAAGAAGGGGGACTCTATTTACTTTAAAAAAAAACGTGCCTAAAACTGGACGAGTGTTATGATTATAGCGTTATAATAGTAAGGGGACGCTAAAATTTCTGAAAATTAGTTGGGGTACTCCGTTTCCCTGCGTCCCCCCATAAGTTGAGCACTGCTCGTAGCCGTTGCGAGGGAGATGCAAGGTAGTGCATTAGCTACCCTCCTAGGTTATAAATTGATTCGAAAAAAAATAAAGGACCTATGAAAAAACAATTATTTTATTTCAAACACCCAATCCCAAGTGATTGCAAATTAGTTTTGGCACCTACGTAAAGACAATAATTTTCCGAACAATAATCGACACTCTTTGGGTTTTCGCGCACATTTTCCGATCGGGATGTCGGTACGCCCCCGATAATCGCCCTGATGGTGTCCGATGGTGTCGCTGAAGTCTCCGGACCCGTTGGAATTTCGAGACGTCATCGATCCCGTTGCTCCGGCACGGCTCTCACGGCGTCCTTGGCCGCTTTTGCATGCCTTCGCGCCATCCGGTCCCGGTTTCGGCACATCATGCGGCACACAGCTCTGGACACGTACGCGTCACCCACAGCCCATCTTGCCACGTTCATCGCCATCACCTGCAGCAGTCATGTGCAATCTAAACCGCAGCGTTACTTGTCACTGATGAAGCGCCGGTATTGGGCCCCCCTTCCAACGATTTTAATATTTTAAAGTTTCTCCCTCACACCTCTAGCGCCGGTTAATTTTAAGTTATTTTTCTCGTCAACAATCCCTTCCCCATTCGATAAGACCACCGTCATCATTAGCAGTGCTGTTGTCGAGCCGCTAGTTGAACGCGTGAAAAAACCGCGGAGCACTGAGACCCGCGCTGAAAAATGTAAATGAATGACATTTTATCTAAACGAAAGTTTTGTCAAAGTGGTAAGGGAAGCATCCAACGGTGGTCCAACTTGTCGATAGAAAACCGCGTGCGCAATGCGAATTCATTGTCCAGAATCCACGGTTGCGACTCGGATAAATCGTTTTTGGATGCGATTCGGACGCGCGCCGAGTGTATATTATATTGAGGTACGATTTCATCGGATCCGTATTATTAATGTGTATTTATTTCTATAACGAGAATTGAAACGAAACGCAAACGGTTAAGAGCACGCTCGCGCGACGGTCTGATTTCAAACGAAAGGAAACCGTAACGGACGGCAAATCATATCGCGCACCTCATCGACCATGCCGGTGTGCGTTCCTAAAGCCCGCGTCCACCCTAGTAAAAATGTACGTTGTACGCCAAATGTAGTATTCGCCGAAAATATTTTTAGAAACAAATTTTCGTTAACGATCTATAATCGAATATTTAGTGCGCTGCGTGTTCGTGATCAATAATAATTCGCTATGATCGTATTGGTTTCTGTTTCGATAGAGATGTTTTGTTCAATAACAACTGGATTTCTTTTTTTCTCCTTTTTTTTTAATTGAACGGCGTGCAATAATGAGAGCTGCGTATTTCTTTTTTTTTTTTTTTATTTATAACAACCAATCCATCGGACATTAACCGTAGAGTTCAGTTGACGTTTAAAAAAAGAAAAAGAAAAAAACACGAAAATACGTCCACGCCGATGTTGCTCCGCGAAAAACCCGTAGCCGACGGATCATGTGTGTGTGTGTGTGAGTGTGCGTGCGTGTGTGTATGGAAATTCGCTGAAAATATTCGCACGAACAAATTTATGGCAAACACGGCGCTAACGGCTAACGGCGCTCAACGCAAGACTATTACTGGCGTGGGCGCGGCTTAACGCGTGTGCCGCCCGCGTGTCCGGTCGGTCGGCAGAGTTAACCGCTTCGAGCCTGTCAATTGCTTACCGTGAGCGTGTGCGCCGTGTAACCGGTGGTGCCGATGCCCGGGCGCCCGATCGAGAACGGCGACGACGGTGAGTCCAACACCGCGGCGGCCGCGTTCGCCAGCCACCCGGTCTCGTCCCTGCGGTGGCCGATCCCGTGGCCGCGGCGCGCAATCCGCCCGCACCCGCAATGGCAGCCCAGCGATCGGAGCGAGTGGCGCGCGTACGTGGCCGGCCCCGGCACCGGCGTCCACCCGACGTTGCCCGTGGTCCCGGGCCGGATCCCGCTCATTTTGGTGGCCACGTACCCGGGTGCCAGGCACCGGACCGCGATCCGCGGGCTCCGCGCCGTCCCGTGCTTCCCGTCCGCTCCGCCGTCGTACTCGGCCGCCAGTTCGATCGAAAACTTCTCCACGAACGCCTAACGAGTGCGAACAAAAAAAAGTCCGTTAATAAGTTTCGCACTCCTATAGCGCTGCCGACGTTGACTAGCTAATATCGACATTGGTCACATCTGTACTGGTCAAAACAACCGTTTGAAATAATTCAGCAAACTTTATTCTCAGAAGCGTATCGGTTATCATCAGCAACGCGTTCGATATTTTGCGTTTAATCACGTTTGAGGTCGGTAAAAATTCCGGACGAATCGCACGAATTGGTTCGCGATCCGAATGTTGACTAAAAAATGCGTTTACTTTTATCCAAGTCTTATAGTTCTACACGTTGAGTTTAAAGGTTAAAACTGATTTCTTCCTTATTGTCGATATTGTACAATAAAACAGTTATCTTATGACAAATATAAATGAATTTCGCTATGACAATTCTCAATAAAATAAATTACTGGCGCCGAGCACATAGTCCAAAACGGGTGTCCAGTGGCGCATTTAGAAACTTTTCATTGGGGAGGTCCAACAAATTTTCCAAACACATTTAAGTGGGTGGCTCCACCCCCGCCCTATCCAACAGCATAGCACTTAAAAATAAATTAAATTTATTACAATACATTAACATAAAACCATTTTGATATTTAAACTTTTTTATTTTTGAATATATAAAACCACATTTATAAAACAAAATCCAATATTCTAAAATTTTATGCTAATTCATTAACAACATCTAGATTTATGTGCCGATGAATAGACATCGTTTCTAGTCCATTTAGTCTCGTCTACATACTAATAAATTTAAACATACAATAATTAGTTATATTTTTATACATAAGATATAAAATATTTTCAAAATGATTAAACGATTACTTAATCTTGATCTGAAATATGTTTTCAGCTTTGTCAAAGTTGAAAAAATCATTCAGGTGTTATTAACACTCGTAATGTACAAAATAATTTAATTAAAAAATATATATTTGGAAAATCAGTTTTTGGGCAAATTAAAATCGCTTATAATCCACTTATGATGTTGACATCTTGACTGGTCATTTTCATTTTCCATATTTTTAATTCAACAAACGCACTATAATTTTTAACTGGTGGTAAATTAAACTCAACCAAATTCTTAAATGATAACCTTTCTACATCTATAAATGTGGAACTAAATAAACATTTAAACCCTTTTTATTTTATACACAAAACATGATATTTAATACAGGTTTTTATTTTAACATAGTTTAATTAAAAGCTATGACATCAAAATCGGATTTATGATTTTAAATCGAGTTGTTGGTTGGTTGATAAAATGTTTAATAAATGGCATAAAATCTGTCACTCTTCTACAGAAGATACTTGAGGATTGGCTCTAATTGATTGTTTTCTTGTTTTGTATTTTTTGGTTATATCTGTACCAATAACATTAGCTAAATTATATTAAAATATTATATTTTGTATACCCAAACTTTATTTATTTTAATTTTTATTATTTATAAACTAAAAAATTAATAAATTAAATAAATAACAGGTATTTCTGGAGCCAATATGGAGGGTCCGGATTCCATTGACCCCCCCACCTTAAATACGACACTGATCACGTCATAACAATACCTATAGTACTGAACTTAATAATATTGAATAAAATATTTTTTAGATGATTTAAAAACCACAATAGTAGTACACCTACGTATTATGAATACAAAATACAAGTCAATTAAAAATGAATTTATTATTCTAGTCACGGCTATGGTAATGAATATTAATATTATATAATATTATATATGTTAACCAAATCTTTGTTAAATATTATGTATATAATATATGGTAACTCTATGATCATTTAACACTTTTAAACCATGAACTTTTTTTTAATTTATTAGTACTTAACAAATATATTATACTTATTTATATACATTTTTATTTAATAAACATACTTGAGAAATAGTTCTTAATTTTTTACATCTTAGAATCACTTTCATGTTTACTTACATATTCCACTTGAATGAAAATTGCTGTAAAAGAGCTGTGACTTGCGAGTAAATTTATTTTTAAGAAAGCAGATATATTTAAAAGTAATATCATATTGAGAAATACAGAAAATGAGACAACTTATATATAACTTATATAAAAAAAAAATTGCCGTCTAAACACAATATAAGTGGCCGACGGTTGTGAAATTGTCAGTAAAATAGCATAAGGAATAAACGTTTTAACTCCTCGTGTTCTAATAATTCCGACAGATTTGCCATTTCAGTTTAAAAAAAGTGCAGTATCCTCTAAAATTAGCTTGCAATAATCAGTGCCGAGTTAACGAAAAAAAATTAATTTAAAATAATGTATATGATGATGGATTCGAAATTAAGGGCAAGATAATAATAATAAATAATAATAACACGTAAAAATTGCACAATCCACACTCTAATTTCATTAATCCGCAAACATAATTGTTAGAATATCTTTGAATTACATTTAATGCACATTTAAATTCATCTCTTAAAATGTTATTATTATAATTTACAATTATTCTACGATAATCATATTTTGCCTTATATGTTTCTAATTCCAATCCATTTAAATAAACACAAAAAAAAATATATATACACGAGTATATATATAAACTTCAAAATTTCCTAACCCGCTCTATTGGAAACGTATGAATACAATTTTTATTCTCTACCAATTTACCCGGAATTACCTTTTCTGACGAAATTATTTACTGCGTATTATATACATATATCATTAAAATGGTTTTAAAATGTTTTAAATCAATAGTTCGTAGTAATATTATGTAAAACATTATAATCTATATGTTAAAATTATTTTATATTTTTACATACCACTAAACTAAAGTATATTATGTAATATACATTCGTATGTTAGCTGCTTCGCGTGTATAACATCGTGTATAAATTCATATGAAATTCTCTACCAATGTATACAGTCTACCCTCCGATGAAATGTTGTTTGATTTTGTAGCAACTACCTAAGCCAAGGTTATTCGAACCGAGACAGCTGCATTTGAAAACCGTATGGGTATATATGTATATATATATATATAAGTGTGTGTGTGTGTGCGCGCGCGTGTGTGTGTGCGTGTGTGTGTGTGTATATATGTATATACACATGTGTATATAAAAAAAATGTTTGCTGACCCCCGAGAGCAGCTGCAAACAATATAATACACGTACAATGCATGCGCATGCGCGCACTCTCCCCGACCAAATCGTATATAATCGATTCCATAGATATTGTACGTTAGTGGCAATGTTCTTTTATTTTATTTAACACGTCTACTGCTATTGGTTACTGCCGGCGATCCCGAACTGTTTTGGTAAAACTCGCTTTTCGTCAATTTTCGACTCGTGTTCGTAGTACGTAATAAAATATTTAATATAATTCGAGTGCGGTTATTAGTTTTAATATTATTTATTTGTGTAATAACGTTGTTTTAGCAATAAACTGCGATGTCGGACTTGCCTTCAACTTCTAAAAGACCAGTCAGGGCAGTCAGGCTACCCAAGCCCACTATTAGACCTTTAACAATACTTGATATCATTGAAAATGATTTATCGGATGCATCTTCCAATGGAGATTTTGACTATTCATTTTTTTTGAATAGTTCTTCTGAGAGTGATTCCGAAAACGAACAAAATGAAGTAAGTGCAGATGATAATGATAATGATAATGCAGATGATAATACACACACTTATTCACAATGGGGTACCGTAACGGGCTTAAACCAAAAGCACTTTGAATTTAACGATATAAGAGATATTCGATTTAATTTTAAAATAAAATCGTCTTGTCTTCAATATTTTCAAATTTTCATGACTGATGAATTAGTAGAAATAATGATGTTAGAAACTAATAGAAATGCCAATCAATTTGTAAAACAAAAACGCATAACTAGAGATACTCAAATGACAAAATGGGTTGATACGACACATGAAGAAATGATTCGTTTTATAGGATTGTTATTTTACATGGGAGTAGTAAAATTATCTTCAACTGCAAATTATTGGAGCAGAAATGTTTTATATCAAAATGAAATATGTAGGAAATCTATGTCACGAGAAAGATTTGAACTTTTACTACGATTTTGGCATTTTGCAAATAATCAAATAGAACCTGAAGGGGATCAGCTTTGTAGAATTCAATATTTAATAACATATTTAGTAACAAAATTTAAAACTGCTAAAATACCAGGTGAAATTATAGCTGTAGGTGAGACAATGATACCATTTCGTGACCGGCTAAAATTTCGTCAATTTATGCCACAAAAAAGTCACAAGGATGGAGTTAAGCTATTCAAAGTTTGTTCTCCAGATGGGTATACTTATGATATAAATATATTTGCTGGTAAAATGGATAAGGAATGCGAAGGACTCGAAACCGTCGTCCTTAACCTTTGCGAAGACTATTTGGACCAAGGACGAACTATAGTTACGGACACTTTTTATACTTCTATAGCCTTAGCAGACAGTTTATTAGAACGCAGAACTCATCTAGTAGGAATGGTGAAAAAAACCGAAAAAGGTCTACCGTTAGAAGTAGTGAATGCTCAAATAAAAAAACGCGAGATTATTGGGAAAGAAAATATAAATGGTATAGTATTTGCGAAGTGGAAAGAAAGGCAATATATACACACTCTAAGTACATGTCATAATTTGGATATCGTAGAAACTGGAAAAAAAAATCAAAAAGATGGAAAAATGATAAAACCAAAAGTCGTAGTTGACTATAATGAAGGTCAAGTGGGAATAGATTTATCGGATGAACTTTCGAGCCGAGGTATGCCAGTACTCCACGGGAGAGCAATCCGCTGGTACCATAAAGTTGCATGTGAAATATTATTAGGGACATCGGTTGTAAATGCATATTTACTTTGGAAAATTCATAACCCCGATAATTTTATAACAATAGTAGAGTTCAGAGAGGCACTAACTACAGAACTTCTTATTTTAAATGATAACCCAGCGATTGTAGCGTCGAAACATAAATTGGAAGTTACAAAATTGGTCCGTAAAAAAAACAGAAAACTTAGAAGGAGATGTGTCCATTGCTATGAAAAAGCACGAAGTGGAGGTTGCAGTGCCGAAGAGGCTAAAAAAGTTGCGACACAAGTTTCTACATATTGTTCTGGATGTAAAGGAAACCCATTTGTTTGTATGGAATGCTTTCAGACTGACCATATCTAAGTTAAAACAAATTGAGTTTATATTATAATATGTCATAAATAAAATATTTTTATTTCTATATATACACATTTATTACATAGTGACAGAATAGTCATAGGCGCAACTAGACCAATAATTTTGGGGGTGCACAAATAGTGAAGAGCTCATAGATCCATGGGGGCAAAGCCCTCACAACCCCAAACCACTAATCTAATTACTCTCCACATTATGAAAAAATAACTACTAATAATTATTTCAATATAAATACTTTGTTTTAATATTTATAATACAATTTATTTAACAAAATTAAATAATCAGATCTACCTACCAACTTACCTATTTTAACATTATTTTCCCCCTCGGCCATAAAGTCTAAATACGCCTATACATTAGATATTATACAATTTGTCTATACAGACATATCATATATATATATATATATATATATATATTATATAGCTGGGTCCCTGGATACATAATAGGTACCTATTTTTCTCAATATACATTTATATGGTACATAAATTTTTTTTGGAAAAAGGCTTATATTTTTTGGGGGTGCACATTTTAAACTTGAGGGTGCACAAGTCCCCTGTGCACCCCCCTAGTTGCGCCAATGAGAATAGTACTCATAATTATTTTATTTTGACAACCATGAACTGAATATTATATATAAATTTTAAAATAATATGATCAATAAAAAATTTTCTTATATTGTATTTGGTGTTTAATTTCTTTAATATATATTAATAATACTATACTTTCAGTAAAATACTACATTTATTAAATAATTATATTAAGTAAGTAAATAGTAAAAATATTTATTTAAATTCAATATGTATTGTACAATTTAAAATTAAAATACATAAAAGAGTGAGAAAAATAGTCGGATTTAAATGGGGTTTGATATGTTTAATAGATATTTTTCTATAACTTATGTTATAAGTAAAAAGAACTGCATTCATAGGAGGCCAACCAATTTATTTTTTCAATTAATACTAACGTGGATCAAGCTGTACCTGTAATATCCGTGGCCTAGCAATAAAAAAAATGATGGGTACCGGCGGCGATCATCATGGCTCGATATGAATAATCGAAATGGGATCACCGGTACTACCCATGGCAACTAACGTGTTAATGATAAGTACCTAAACAAATCAAAATGTAATTACAATTTAACAACAATTTTAATTTTAACTAAATTTAATATAATTTTTTTTAATATTATTTAATTATAATAATATTTTTTCCCGTGCAAATAAATTTATTATACATTTAAAAAAACTCCATTGATTTTCATATTATCATATTAATCCAATAACCAACATTGATGTTATATATACAGTAGAATCCGTTTATTACGATAACGTATATAATGATATTCCGGATAAAACGATTCCTAGCCTTATATTCATTTGTTTTAATATCTCACATAAGCAGGACCGGACCGGGCATGCGGAATACCAGGGGTTGGGCTCCTTTTTTTTAATGTTGTTTTTATACCTTTGGTACATCTAAGTGGGCCGTTTTTTTTTATTTTCCTGGTAGAAATTTCTGTCCCAGTCCGACCCTACACGTAGGTAATGCTTTCGGCTGCAACACGATTGCACCCGATCCCTTTTTATCTGATAAGATCACAACGCCATTGCGCACCAAATAATTATATGTGTATATACTATATATAATAATTTATGTATTACATAAAACAATATATACAATACATACTTTCTACATATAATGTTCATATACATGCACTCAAATTTATTACCTATTAATTCACAATTTTACTTCCCAATTATTACAGGCTTAGGATTGTCAACAAATTATGGTTGGCTTGGTTAAAAATTGTTTTTTTTTCTAAATTATATGTTAGCTAAATGTATATACATGGTCAATAGTCGAAAATGTTTTTATTAAAAATTTTTTTTTTCTTAACTAATAGTCATTAGTCGATATTATTATTATAACTATCATTAGCTCAATCAACTTTTCATTTCGATTTTGAAATAGTGCATTTTGTGAACTAATAGTTCAAGTGCATGCACATGCAAATTATAGAAAGTATGTATTGTATACATTATTTTATGTTGTATATAAATTATTATACATAGTATATACACATAATTTGAAATTTTGGTGCGCAATTGTGTTGTGATTTTATCAGGTAAAAAGGGATTGTGGTGCAATCGTGTTACAAATTTTTTGCGAAATTGTGGTGTAATTAGTTGGGTCGAAAAAGGAAAAATTGCGCAATCGTGTTACATCGAATGTTTTTGTCTTCCGGATATAACGATCTGATTCTTTAGGTTCCTTGAAGATCGTATTAAACAGATTCTACTGTATATATTAAACATAATTTAATTTTATTACGGTGAGATGAAGATAACATAAAATAGTATGAAAGACATAGAGTGGCGTAGTTACGGGGAGGATGTAAGGGGTTTCCATTCCCTCCACAGATTTTTTTTAATGATATTTGATTATTATTTATTAATATTTATATATTAGAGTAAAATATTTTGATTTTACTATGATTAGATATTTATTAAAAATTGAATAACAAAATAATTTTCATTAAATAGGGTACATAATAATAATACCATTTTAAATGTAATATTATTACAATGACCTCGTTTTAAGATATACTAAGAACACTTAAAAACTTACTCTTAACCCCCCTCCCCAGAAAAAAATTGTATCTACGCCACTGAAGACATGTATCTTAAAAGGTGGAGAACCTTTGCTTTAGGTCTTACGAACACACACACACACACACACACACACACACAAACAGCTCGTTAACGCGCGGTGATCCGAATACGACCAACTTTATTATTCTAATAATTTAGTACGCACTTAGAATTGTTATCGTATCGTAGAAATTCTCGTATAGGAATAATAGTCGGGAAATTCCACTGCGTTAATAATAATCTAATTTAATAATATTTGTTTTAATGGAATTTCAAAATTATATGTTATTTATTCTGACTCTAGTGCGATACATTCAATAACAACAAATGTGCCACTAATGGTACGCGTGACCATCCCCGATCTAAAGACATAATATTTGTAACAGATTATCACCCACAAGAATGCAACGGAAAACATAAAAGTAACTGGTAAAAACAATACAATTTTACCGAAGTTCAACAACTTCAATAACTTCAGAAAAATATATGTTTATCTAATATTTTACGAATATATAGATACCGCAGCAAGGTTAACGCGATACACATTGAGTTTCTAAGCTTTAATACAGTTTCGTAGAACAATTAAGTTATGGTACACATACATGCATGGTATGCGTCTATAACGATAATTGAATTATACGGCTGCTGCATTGCCGTGTTCAATTACACTGTCAAATTAATATTTGCATCCGCCGTGTGTATCCACTTGTACAATACGTGTCGTCTTACATGGAAAGAGCACACGCGGCTACTATGATACGAAGTCGTAATATGTATTTGCCCCTTTTTCAATTGTAAATTTATTAATTACAAAAACAAATGCGAAGACGAGCTGAAGATCTGGATGGTGTACATACAAATATATTGACGATTATGTGTACAATCTACTCGTGTAATAAAATGTTTTAGAAATGTTGCGATGGTCGCTGCCATGATAATTTCCGGATTTGTTTAGAAAAAAAAAAGAAAATAGAAATCGATTTTTATCGCTCCAAACTCAAATGTGCGGATTAAATTAGGACAGGTATTTTTAATCTATTTGTTACCGGCAATGTGAATAATCTGACACTATTATTTTTAGCATATTCATAATGCCTAGGCATTATGAACAATGTCAAAAAACATTAGGTAATTAAAAAAATTATAATATCTACTAGGTATTGTAAATAATACTCAAAAACGCTAATTAGGCAACGTAATAAGTAGGGTTGGGATTTTGATGCAAATATATCTTATTTTCTGATACCCAGCATATATGTTCGTAAGACAAAAATGTGTTCCGAGTGATACTTATTAATTTAATGTAGTTTTATTTTGCATTTTTTTTGCATTTTATGACATATTTTACTTTATATGAATTTGTAGGATACGTGTTACTGTTTTTTGAGAATTTTTTTTAAGTTTTTAGAATTTATCTATAAATTTTTAAATATTAGGGTACTAGATTATGCATTTCGGCACTTGTTTGCTTAAAACTTGCACGTTTAGTTTGTTATCTATTGAATTAAAAAACTAATAAATGCGAGCATATCGACCCATGTTCCTATTTTATCAAAAATAAAACAAAATTAATACAGTCAAAAAAAATATTTCTATTTAAAACAGTCTAATGACGATTATAACAGCGAGTTATGAAATAAATTAAATTCAAATAAAGTTAAATAAAATGTAAATATTAAACAAATAAGCACCTATTTTGTTATTATTATATATATATATATATAATTAAATATGTTTGGTAACATAATTTTTATATCATTTTTATACTATAATAAATATATTTTTTTCCGTATCTTTATAATTTTTAAAGCATTTTTGCAATATTTAAATTTTATAAATACCGGAGGGCAATTAAAAATTTCCTATTTTATCTGATTGAATATTTTTTCGGTGAGAATAAAGTATTTTGTTGTACGCAGTACCACATGATATATCCAACAGTAAATGTTATATTATGTTATCTACCAGAACTGATATCCTTTACGACCTTTATTGATCGACATACGACGGGCTATTTAACACAAGTTAATAAGCAAATACGAAATTTTATTTCGAAATAAAAATTAATGTTTTTATTTTATTAACTTTACAGTTACAATCTTAGCATTGAATACCACAGGTCGCACAAATCTCCTCGAATTAATTAAAATTAGGTAAGATATTAAGGTTAATATTTTTGTGTGCTAGATAATCTAGCTCCACTTTACAGAACTAACGAGCGTAGTGTTAAGTAATATCAATGACAATAAACCCAGGCTACAGTAAGCATTAAAAAAGAAAAAAGGCCACAGGAAGCACAAGACACATTAAAAAAAGAAAAAAACTGTATATTCATGTCACAAAAATATATAGATTATTATAACACTTTAGAACGTAAGAAAACAATTGTTCAATAATAATTTTACCAGTACCGACTGTCAGTTAACATGTAAGCAATAAATATGTTTAATTAGGTTAACCAAATCGATAAAAGAAAGGAGACGTATAAGTAAAGAAATTTTCTCAGGTGGTCGTGTAACTCAACCGCTACGGGAATCATAATGCGTTTCAAGTGTATGTTTGTGTCTATTCGTACGATTTGATCGGCACGTACGA